ACTTCACTCTTGTTGAAAGGGTTTAGTTCTGTACTTCACTCTTGTTGGTTTTGTTCTGTACTTCACCCTTGTTGAAAAGGGTCCAGTTCTGTACTTCACCCTTGTTGAAAGGGTTTAGTTCTATACTTCAACAGGGTTCCGTGCTGTACTTCACCCTTGTTGAAAAGGGTCCAGTTCTTGTTTATTCATTCTGTGGCCAATGTTTTGGCAGGTTGTGTGAGTTCGCTTTGAACCTTCCAGGGACAGTGACTCACTGGGCTCCATGTACCACAGTACTTTTGCCCATCCCCACAGGACTTTTTTGCATCAACCGGTCTATATAGGTGTTGCGTGATGTGCATAAGACTCTGCAAACCTCAAGCAACTTGGTGGTCCAACAACTTGGTGGTTGTTAAAACTCTGGCAGGTCCAACTGGTTTCACCGAAAGAAGTCGCCTCGCGCCTCCGAGGAAACCAGATGCCAGCCGTGCTGAAGGACGGGTGGCTGATCCAACGGCAGACTCCAGCCAGCTCTTGCTTGACAGCATGGGGTGGCATGGGGTGCTCCTGGCCAATGTTTTTCATTTTTTCTGGGGGTGGAGTTAGGGTTCATCACCCAAAGTCTTGTATTGTTTAAATCTCGGTCAATGGAGCAGCCACACGCCTGCTGCTATGCACACTTCAAACGTGAGCTGAAGCGTTTGGCAAATGCATCATGTTCTGGACCATTTGTCCCTTGCTTGTGGTAGTCAGAGCTGTGATACAGCGCCTACCTTCTAAAATTCGCCATGGGTGAATCCCAAGCCGCTACAAAGGGCTCACCGAGCCTCTTGGGAGTCTCATCGAAGTGATACAAAGCTCGATCGGAATCCGAGAAGCCCAGATGCCGAACTTCCGGGCTTTGGCCATGGACATTGGCTTCTTTTATTCTGAGCTTCTAGGAAACTATGTTCCAGGAAGCTCACCTAAAGGAAAAGACCACTTCTATCCACTTCTAGATTCTAGTTTGGATTCCCATTCATGGCATCATCATCGTCATCATCGTCATCATCATCATCATCATCATCATCCTCATCCTCATCCTCTCATCCTCATCCTCATCATCCTCATCCTCCTCATCCTCCTCATCCTCCTCATCATCCTCATCATCATCCTCATCATCCTCATCCTCGTCGTCATCATCATCATCATCATCAGCATCGTCGTCATCATCATCATCATCATCCACTGTTGCTAGGGCTGGGTTCAATTCATCCATATAATTTGATGATTCGCAACAACAAAGCACCTTTAGTTGCAATGAAACCCACGCCTACAGTTGCAAGTCCTTTGGCAGGACCTTGGTATCACCATCCCAGATGCCAACGCATGTCAACTGGACAAAGACTTCTTCCAGACGCTGGGGACTTAGGGTCGACTGCGGGCCTGCACGTTGAACATCAGGCACAATGTGTGTGTGTGTGTGTTTGTTGTGAACCCTGGAATCACGGGTCTTTACGGAGTTGTTTCCTTATGTTTAGATGGCTTTCATCATGTTTGCCTGCTTTTTGTCAGGGTTTTGATGCTTTTTGATGCCTTTAGCAGCAGGCGGTGCCAGGGAGGCACACTCAACGGGCATCAACGAAGACGCCCATGTTGCATCTGTGATATCGATCTGGCACGCCGGTGTCTCCGTACCTTCTTTGTTGAGGCGTTGAGAAACATGATCCATCTCGACAGATGCGGAGGCTTTTTCCAGGTTTGGTGAGGCGAGGTCATGTTCTGCGTTCGAAATGGCTCACCCAACCATTCGGCGTGTTCTTGGACCCTTAAGAAGCAAATATCTATCTCTCTCTATATATATATATGTATTATATATATACATTATGCATGACTTTTGATGCTTTTGGACATTGATGTGTTAATGGTTTTTGAACCGTCTTGCCATTTTTGATAGTGCTATTGTTTGATCTTGGAGGCGATTCGACCCTATACATATGTTGTTTTACTTATTGTAGGCCATTTTTCACTTAGGCTTTCATGGGAGGGGAGGGCATTCTGACCGATGGTACACCCTTGCATCTTGCGTGTGTGTGTGTGTGTGTGTCCACTCCTGTTTCCAAGGACACTACTCTAGTATTTTTCTAATCTACCCTACGAGCTTTTCTGTACAGAAGCAGGGGGACAACCCCATGGATGCAGTTGGTTGTCCAACGAAGAGGGCTGCATTCCATGGCTGATATGATCCTGGGACGCTAGGATCACGTACCTGCAATTTTAATACTAAGTTTGATCTTCAATCGCTGATGTTTCTAAGTCAGTGCAACGCCGTCTCATACGTTGTTTCCTGCAGTATCTAGATTTAAAGGGCTAATGCACACCGCGAAGCTACCTGAAATCACGCTCCACGGAGCAACCTTCTCAAGTGTGTCTTCGCAGCTTCTTCCCACTGTGGTGAGCTGTGTGATCCCTACGGGGCGCCGTTACCGCAAGAACCTGATCACTCCTCACCGAGGGAGTAAGTTTCCTGAATTTTCTCTGAAGTCCCTTTGACTGAATTTTACCTGCTCGAAATCAGCTTGGATCGTCTCACCCCGCACATGTGAAGATTACTGCAGAGTTCACTGAAATCCTTTCTGAATCCCACTGCAGAGTCAACTGAAAGTGTTTCACCCGGAAATCCATTCTTTTCAAATCTTTTCAAATCCTTTTAACCTTCCAAGTTTTAATTCAATTTTCCAGAGTTCAATTTTCCAGAGTCTAATTGCGGTCAGTCAATACACTCCACAACTTTTTCGACCTCACGGACCTCTATTTATTTTCATACATACATACATACATACATATTTTCACTGTCTTTGACTTGCCGAGCAGCCATGACGTATCCCTGGCCTTATTCTTTGCCGCCACACATCCATCAACAACCACAACCTACACAACCCCATTGGATTCAATATCCACCACAGGCTTCACCACAACCTTTTCCAACACTGCCACCGACTCCACCACAACACCCAACCTCACATCACTACCCATTGCCCCCTACACCTCCACCTCATGCTCAATACATCCCACCACATCAACTCCAGGCACATTTTCCAGTGCAACCCACGGTTCCCTTCGACACTACCCAACTTACGCAACAACATCCGCATCTCACAATTCAACCACCACAATCCCAAGCCCACACACATCTCACATTGCCACTTCAATCTCAATCTCAACCTCAGCCACCATCTCTACCTCCTCAACCACATCTACCACATCAACTACATCCATCACCACACACGACAAATCAAACCCCTGCCACACCATCTTTTCAACCACCACCACTACAAGCACCTGATGTGCTACAAGCACCACCACCTGATCCAACAACAATCACTTCACAGCAGTTGGCCACACCAACTCCACCACCACCACCTTACGCTTCAACAACCTCACCAGCGGCTACTCAACCTGCTTCAGCATCCATCAACACACCCGCACAGCCTCCGCCACCACACCACATACTACGCACTACCAAGCCAACACCATCCATTGCACCCACACTCAGCACTACAAGAGGTATTTGGCGCGACCCAGATCGCTCACCACCACGCACACCTGAACATCACCGCTATTCAGCCTTTCCAGCCGTTCCCTCCATTGCACCATCACAAGCTACATCCAGATCCAGGAGCCGCACTCGATCACTACGTACCACACGCTCTCCACTACCAAGACGTCGAAGCTCCGCCACACAATCCGTGGCTAGCTCTCAAGCACAATCCAAACCTGCAGATAGACAAGCATCACAATCACCAGCAATCACCCAAGACAAAGCTCACACTTCCATCAAAAACATCACTACCGCTACCACTGCAAAACACACTCCAGAGTCAACTCACCGTACTTCCAGCATTACACTCAAGCCCAACCCACATTTCACTCCCAAACATTCCACAAAACAGACACTTCCACCACCACCCCCAGCACCAACACCTGCAGTTCCAGTACAGCGTCGACCTCACAACTTGCCTCCTCCAACATTCCAACCACCCACTGATCCAGCACAATTGGATGTCTTCCAATGGCTCAACCGCTACGCACAAGCACTTGATGTCAAAAATGAACCCATGATCTCCTACGTAGCCAAGGTACTCAGTGCAGCTCATCTCAACAGCACCCACTTTACCGACCTACAACTCCTCACACACACAAAATGGAGCGATGACACCAACAAAGAAGAACATTATTCCTTCCTACTACTCACAATCCCCACATTAGCGAGCAGGGGCGACGCCCCGATTCTTCCTCCTACACGGAGAGAGGCGCTGAACATACCACCTATTAAACACATTTTTGCGGCACACGTTAGCGAGGAGGGCAACATCATTTCAATACTTGAAGCAGGAGAAATCGTGCGATCCATTCTGCATGATGATCACAACGTGGGCTATTTTTGTCAGGCGTTCGAATTGTCGAACTACGAGCCCCATGATGCTGCTGAAGCTGCACGCGTCCTCTTCAATGCTTCCAACATGGCCAAGAACCGCAGCGGCCTCATTCTGACGATCAAAGCCTATGGACACGGCCAGAAAGTCACTCATGGTGGCGAATCCGCAGCGAACGACTTGCTGCTCAGAGGAGAGGGGATTGTAAAATACACCCCAGGAAAATGCTGGGTGGCCCATCCCAAACATTCCAGAATAGAAGGGATAGCCTGGAAAAGCGATGCAAAGCCACCGCTCAGTTTCATTTAATTCAACCTATTCAGCTCACGAGGTTCGTTTTTTCACCCCGTATCTTGGATGACGACCTAGCCTCAAACAATCTCAGCCAGCTTGCCTGATATTGATATTGATTCTGGTTTTTCTCACACATCGTTGTCAACTTCCTTTTCTTCCGATATTTTATTCCTGTACAGATTGATGCCGACAACAAGATCTTTTTCCAATTTTCCAGACTTGCAGCATGTCAGCATTCCTGGTTGATATCAAGCTTTCTGAAGAGAGTCACAAGCATTTTGAAGAGAGTCGCAAGATTTCCTGTGTTTTGCATCCTGCCCCGCAGCCATTTTGTATTATCTTGAATATTGAACTCGATCCCTGACGACCACCCGAGCTATATTTGCTTCCCGACGAGTACCACGACGATGACTTCACCTTTGGACACAGCATTTGCCCATCGACTCCTTTTAGCACACCTTCAAGCAGCCACCTCCATTGCTACTACTTTTCAAAACCTTCCACCATTTACACCGCAACCACTACAACATGCACATCACCCACTCACTACCACTCCACCTTCTCCCCAAAGACCAGCCAGGCGCACTCCTCCACCACTGCAACCGCAGCCGTCTTTCTCACGCAGCCGCAGTCCACCTCCCGCCAAAGGCAAACCATTCATGGAGTGCAAACCAGAACCTTCTCCTTCACATACGCCCACTTCACCACATCAGTTTTCACCACACCACCGCAAG